TCTCCAGCACCAAAGCCAAACTCTTTCAAAGTTTTAGTGAGAAGAAAAATAAGCCCCAAAGGTACAAAAAACTTCACTGTTGAAATAAACACATAAAATATATGAGTTGGTGCTAAACCTGCAGTTGAAATTGAAACGCATCGCTTGAGCCAGAAAGAGACAATTGGTACCCACAATTTTAAGAAAGGAACTTTAGGTTGTTTTTAAATAGACCAATTACAAATTCAAATTTAAAAATATTTGAAGTAATAGATACATTTATCTTAATCTGAACATTAGAGAATGCACATTGAAAATTATATGGAACGTTGTCAATATGTATATTTATGCATCAGCTTAAAAATAAATTGAAAGTAGAATAGCAGTAATAAAATGGATCTTATAAGTATAAAGCAATCCACAATCACAGGTTAATGGGGGTTGGGCCCAACACCTACAGCCAGCCTAGCTAACTAGAGTTTGGGAGCATCATCCCCAGAGAGGAAAGAGCTATAGACCTAGAAGGAAAGCATTCTGGACTCTTTGGGCATCAAGAATGGGAGAGACAGCAACAGGTTGGTTCATTATTGAATAGGTGTATCAAATACTGGGAGACACCACATACAGCTGTTAAAAGCTGGGAAAATCCAGATGTAGTGACACATTTAATCCCACCACTGAGAGCCAACACAATCTATGTAACAGGATATAAGTCAGCCAGGGTTACAAAGCCACTGTCTTTAAAGAAGAAAAGGGAACAGGAAAAAGCTCTGCAAAGTGTCAGAAACTGACAATATTTTAGAGACAGTTTTGTAAAGTTTATTTAGAGCAAAGTCTCCTAAGCTGCAGATGGTGATCTTACTGCCTGACTGTGGGGCTTGAGGGAAAACTGCCAACAGTTGCAGCTTTCTGAACAGTCAATAGCCGAAACTTCATTCAAACTCCCAAGCCTGATGAACCTGAAGAGCATACGACAGCAGCTCCCATCTAGCTTCACACCACCTCATTGAGTCCTTGCTCCTGAACATACACAAGAACTTCGTACTGTGCATGCCATGGTGTTATCCTATAAAATGCAATGCCAACCAACACTGCAGCATCTGTGATCTACATTCAAAGATTTCTGCTCTTAGAGAGACAGAATGGCGTCATTGTGAATAGTAGACTTTCATGTTCTTATTATCAGTGTGTCAGCATCGAATTATTACATCTTTGGGGGAAAGGAAGAGATGACTAATTGGATACAATTTCATACAGTATCCTCATCAGGTCGCTCACAACTGCCTGGAACTCCAGTTCCAGAGGATCTGGCACTCTCTAGCCTCTGCAAGCCCCTGCAGGCACACTGCACATAAATGTATGCAGGCATATACACATACATATAAAGATTTCTTTATAAGTTTCAATTTATTCTATCTTCTGATTGTATTGTATTAGATATGCTTCTACCTCACTAGTATGCAAGTTTGACTCCATCTTTAATTGTGACAATTTTGTAAGTATCCAACAAACTGTTTTAAAACATATCTCTGTAGATCTATTATATTAATGTGTAACTGTTTTATATACTGTAGAAGGTAATATAAAAATTCCTTAGGCAAAAAGGAGTTGGGATGGGCAGTTTAAGAGTTCTGATTTAGGGGCTGGGCAGATTGGTGCACACCTTTAATCCCAGAACTCAGGAGGCAGAGACAGGCAGATCCCTGAGTTCTAGGCCAACCTGGTCTACAGAGTAAGTTTCAGAAAGCCAGGGCTACATAGAGACATCTTATCTTGAAAGAAAAAAAAAAGTGTTCTGATTTCTGATTTAGGGCTAAAGATGCAGATCAATGTTAGAGAACTTTGCAAGTCCTTGGTTTCGATCCCCAGGCACGTCAAAAAGAAGTCCTGATTTAAAGAACAACGGTCATTATTGTTTACATTTAATGCCTGTGAAGGCATTAACAATATGATTATTAACAATAGACTACAAAGCCAGGCATGGTGGTACACGCCTTTAATCCTAGCACTTGAGAGGCAGAGGCGGGTGGATCTCTGAGTTTGAGGCCGGCTTGGTCTACATGGTGAGTTTCAGGACAGCCAAGGCTACACAGAGAGACCCTGTCTCAAAATAAAACAAAACAACAACAACAGAAATAAAAATAAAAAAACTATACACAGATAGATGGCCTGGCAAGTAAAGATTCTTGCTAACAGACCTGAAGAACTGAGTAGAATCCCTAGGACCCAGTGGTAGAGAGAAAACCAACTCCTGTGAGTTGTCCTGAGTGCAGGTTGCACAGATATACACAAGCACACAATTAACAAACTAACAAATGTACCATTTTTTTAAATAGGCTAACTGCCTAACAGGGACTGGGGTTTAGCTCAGTTGCAAGGTCCTGCTCAGCATGCTCAGGTCCTGGGTTCAAACCCCAGCTCTGAAAACAAACAAACAGAACAGATGGACTCTGTGTTCACCTTCTGTCTTTTTGGCCACCCAGGTGTTGATGTGCTGTCGGGACTGCTCTGTATCTCCCTGAAAGTCCAGCTCTTCCATCTCTGCTTCATAGAACTTGCGGCAGGAATCTTTAAAAGACTGAGACAGAGCAACATAAGCATACAGCCACGAGAGAGATTAGCACCAACAGCCTCCTTCCTTGATGCACAAAACCAATAAATCAAAATTTAATGGTGTACAGATGGGTTTTGCAAACAAATATACGGAAAGAGTGTAAAATTTAGCCCTCCTGTTTCCAGATCTCTTTAGTTTATTAATGAGGAAAGATGGTGGTTGGTCTGAGTACCACTGAAAACCCAATGAGCAGCTGGATCCTAGAGGTAGTAGCTGAGGCTCAGGAGACAATGGGAAAGACCCCCAGATGCAGTACTACACTGCTATCACTCTAGTAGGCCACCACATGGGCAGAGGGAGGCTTAACCCCACCGAGGCACAAATCTTAAAAGGTCTTATTAATAAAATCAAACCTGAAGGCAGGTATTGGGGTGAATGCTGGAAGATCAGAGAAGCAGAACAAGCCACAGCCACCTCACCTCACCAATTCCTTAGCTGATCTTGTTTCCTCAGACTGAAAGCCTCTGAGTCCTCAACCAGAATGAATATCACCTGCACTGCTGCTAAAATCCTAAAAGCTTAACCAGGCTAGTTCCTGGTTTTCTCGCCCTATATACCTTTCTGCTTCCTGCCATCACTTCTTGGGATTAAAGTTGTGTGTCACCATGCCTGGCTGTTTCCAGTGTGGCTTTGAACTCACAAAGATCCAGATGAATTTCTACCTTCAGAATGCTAGGATTAAAGGTGTGTGTGCCACCATTTTCTGGCCTCTATGTCTATCTAGCAGCTGTTCTGTTCTCTGACCCCAGATGAGTTTATTAAGATGCACAATATATTGGGGAACACAATATCACCACACCCCACAAGGGCTATGACACCTCTGCACTGCACAGGATGGACCTTCTTCTACCACAGTTTTCCATGCTAACAGAAATACAAATGTGCACCATTCAAAATGGTGGCACCTACAGCCCAGAACACCAGGGAATGGCCACGGGAGCTAAGAAACTGAGTACTTCATTTTAGTTTATTTTATTTCATGATGTGGAATTTGAAAAGCTATGTGTCCATGGTCACCAACTCAGGCAGGTCAGTTTTGGGGAGTGAGCAGTTCACAAAAACACAGTCCATGCTGGAATGGTGTTCAGTGGTGCAGCGCAGAGGTGGACGACCAGCCTGGCATGCATAAGGCCTTAAAGCAACTGATCACCAGCACCACAAGACAAACCCAAGTTTAAGCCATTTGCTGATATGTTCTGTAAAATGACAATAACATTGATGACCAGCCACACTCTGTCTTGTTACAACAGAAAACTCAACCTAAATGAGCTGAAACTCCCATTATGTTGACAGTGTATATGGAATGGTTTCTCAATATTTCTATGAAATAGCTCATCTCGTGGCTATATATTTAATTCCTCTTTGAGAGAACTGTTTTTATTTTTCATTTGCATATTTACATGTGTGTGGCAAATATATGTACACATATGTGTGGTGATATTGTGTTCCCCAAAATATTGTGCACACTAATAAACTTATCTGGAGTCAGAGAACAGAACAGCCACTAGATATAGCAATCTAGAGTCCATGTAGAGTCCAGAAAATGGTGGCACACACTCCTTTAATCCTATCACTCGCAAGGCAGACAGATCTCTGTGAGTTTAAAGCCACACTAGAAACAGCCCCAGGCATGGTGACTCACACCATTAAACCCTGGAAGTGAGGCTTTAATCCCAGGAAGTGATGGCAGAAAGCAGAAAGGTATTTAAGGCCTGAGATCCAGGGACTAGAGCTGATTAAGCTTTTCGGCACTTAGTTCAGTTCAGCTGAGATTCAGTTGGATGAGGACTCAGAAGCTTCCAGTGTGAGGAAACAGGATCAGCTGAGGAACTGGCCAGGTGAGGTGGCTGTGACTTGTTCTGCTTCTCTGATCTTCCAGCATTCACCTCAATACCTGGCTTCCAGGTTTGTTTTTATTAATAAGAACTTTTAAGATTCATGCTACACATGTGTGTAGATACGTACATATGTATGTACAAGTGTATATGAAGTCTATGTTAATGCTAGAAAGTTACTTGAAGTATCTTTCTCAAGAGTTAGTTCTGCACCTTATTTTTTGAGACATCCTCTCACTGAACCTGGAGCTCATCAACGAAGCTGGGCAGGCTGCCCAGTGCACTCCAGAAATCCATTCCTCTCTTTATCCCCCAGTACTAAGCTTAAAGACATGAAATTTTATGTTGGGTTTCTATGTGGGTGCTGGGGATCTGAACTTGGGTCTTCATGCTTTTATACCAGGCATATTATTTACCAAATGAGCATCTCTCCATTACCTGAGGGAAACAGAATTGTAATACAGGATTTCAGGACCACAGTCTGAGTATCAGCTGAGTGGTCTTAGAAGAGCCAATATCTCTACACCTACTCAACCACTGTAAATCAGGAGATAGATGACTATACCTCACAGGGTCTCTGTTAGATTTATGTGAATGTGTATTATGCCTACATATGTATCAGTGCACCATGTGTGCCTGTGTTCTCAAGGGCCAGAAAAGGACTTTAGATTCCTCAGAACTGTAGCTACCCATGGTTGTGAACTGTCATGTGGGTGATAGTAATGGAACCTGATTCGATTCAAGGAGTTTTCAGGTATCAGATTTTTTTTTTTTTTTGTATTTAGTGATGTTCAACTTCAGCATGCTCAACAAAAACCAACAACAACAAAATTTCCAATCTCAAGATCAAAACTGAAAAGATTAAGATTGTGCAAGCCCCTGACAGGGAAGGAAATGAACACTCTGCTGATATCTCTGGCCATCTGGGAGAGCAATGGAGCAACACATGTTACAGTCTTAAGGCTTCATCTTCTTTTCACAAATGTATCTGCCAGCAATGCACACACATGGGCATAAATCGACATTCAGTAACTCACTGTTGGTAATGGCCCACACTGTCACCCACACACAAGCGGTTCACTATGTCACTGTACATCTATACTCAGGACTATCAGATGATGGCTAATACTGAACAGTGCAGAACATACACATCACCCTATATAAAAAGAACCTATTTCTGGAAAGGTTCAGAGGTAGAGAATGGCTCTTGCTTAAATATTCTCTACAATAAGAATATGCTCACATGTGGTTCCAAAGCATGTAACCAAATACAAAATCACATTAGTGGGCAAGGGAGTAGGGTGAATCCTTAGCCTACTGTCTCGAGTACCACATGATACTTACTTCTAAAAGATCACAAGTCTTTTCTCCAAAGAGTTTATTAGCTGTTTTGAGCAAGTACTGTGTTCCGGTCTTGTTCACTTCGCTGAGAAGTGACTGGAAGCCCTGGTGGACATCTCCACCTCCACTACCGCTGCATTTATCCAAAGAAAGCGCCTGAAATAAAAACAGATTCAAATACAACTTCAGCAAGGCCAGTTATAGGAAATGAGTCAACACTCAACTCATCCTCAAAATCTTATGGATCCTTGCTGCCACGCAAAGAGCCACCCAGTTAAAGATGAAAGTACCTTGACTGCTCCCTCTCTAGGGGCCTGCCCTGTTCCCTGTCAGCCCTGAGCAGAAATGACCCTTCACAAGCCCAGTCTTCACGCTCACTAGCTGTGCTCTGGCCTCAAGCATGGCTGCCAAGCAGACCTGCCATGACTCCAGTGCAGCCAGTTCTGACCTCAGACCATGCTGTCTCTTCCCTGCTCTTGGGTCTGGATGGCTCCAGTGTTGTCTGCCCAACAGAATGGAGGAGAGTGACCCTGTTCCAGGCTGGGCTTTAAAAGGCCTGGCAGCTGCCACATTTGTTCCCAGACATCATGGTGGTAGGAAATCCAAGCCATCCTCCAGGAGGCCACATGGAAAATCCTGGAGTAACTGCCACTACATAAACTGTGGGTGGCCAACTGGGAGACCTGCAGCTCCCACACTTTACTCCAGGGTACCCTTGAGGCGAGAGGGATCAGAGATTTAGATAGAAGGATAGAGGTGAGAGAAAGACGGGGGCTTTGCACCTTTCTTGGACCTCATTCTGTAGCCCAGGCAGGCCTCAAACAAAAAGAGATCCTCCTGCCTCTGCCTCCTGTGTGCTGGGATTAAAGGTGTGGGCCACAACCACCCAGCCCCTTAGGAGTTTTTACTCTCACATACACACTGCGATCACCAATGAGTCAGTGATAGGGTCTTAACAGATAGAGTGCATCCTTTGTCTCAACACTCCAACCATACCCCTCTGTCATTTCATTCCCATTTGTACCTCCAGATGGATTAGTTTTTGAGACTAAGAATGTGGAGGACCAGCTCAACTGACAGTCCATGGTATTTATCTGCTGTGAAATGGTGCTGGTTACCTGAATCATCTGGCTTGCAGTGTCTCCCTTTGCCCCCATGAAGACCATGGCCAGGGCCGAGGAGATGCTCATGGGTGAGAAAAATACATTTTCTGAGCTGTCTTCTCCCAGTATTTTCAAAAGGTTTAAGGCAAAGGTGCCATTTGCTTCCCGCAGAGAATCCATGATAGCAAGTCTGGAACGAGGGATTAAATCAGTATCACATGAATACAGGCTGATATGTAGGCCTGGTCTTCACTCTCACTCACACAGTGAGGCTGGGGCTCAGTGAACACAGGGAAAACACAGCCTGGAAAGTAAAGGTCACGTGCAGAAAGTGATACAGCCCTGCTGAGGTAACTCAGGCCAGCGCCTTGTCTTCCTCATGTGCAGTAATCAGTACACGGGGAACCAGAAGGAAATGGCTCAGAGGACAAGAGGCAGGTAAGGACCCACCAGCCAGGAAGTCCATGAATGCAGCAGTGCAGGCTGGAAACAGGCAACTGCAGAAGCAGGGCCTGTCAGCTCTGACATCCTCCCCATGCAGTTGTCAAATTCCTTTCCCCAGTTAGACAGTACAACAGTTCTAAGATTTCCCATCAGCCCCCCTTAGCAGTGGCTGAGAACTCACAGAGCATGGGGAGGGGAAGTAACAGGCCACAGGGAAGGGAAAGGTGCTCAGTTGTAGTGAACTCAACAGAATACATGGCACAGCTTTACAGCTATAGCTGTCTGTGGTCAGCTGGACAAAGAACCCAAAGACACCAAGTTCCCAAATCCTGGAACCTGGGAAAGTTTCTTCACCCAGGAAGAGACTTTGCAGTAAGGATTATGGATCTTAAGATGAAATGTCTTGCATAATTCAAATGGTCACTAAATGTAATCACATGCAGTCTTATAGAAGAGGGGTGCTCACTGGAAGACAGGCAAGAAGGAATTAATTCAGAGAAGTGAGTTCTCTAGATCAAAGGACTGTGGCCAGCCATGATACCTGTAATCACAGCCCTGGGGAAGCTGTGGAAGAAAGCTCTCTGTTTCAAGACTGGCTGAGATGCAAACAGAGAGGAAGAGGGGGTGAGGGAGGAATCAGAACCCTGAGATTTGAACTGAGAATTGCAAAGTCATGCAAACTGGTTGTGACAGTGTAACAATCCAGGGCACAGCAGGGGGACCACACAGAACCCCCAGAGACCAAGAACTGTGCAGACACATCTGACCTTCTACCAGGCTTACTTTAGTGATTTCCCAGGACTGAATTATCTCCGGGGAGCGTCCTCTCCCTGCAGAAACAGGACTAGGACTGCCTTGTTCAAGGTCTCCCTGCCACCCCACTGTGGTTTAGCACCAGGCACTCACTCCTGTTGTGGCCAAGCATGTGTCTAGCTAAAATAACTTTGGGTTTCAATCCCACCTTCATGGGGATTTGCAAGACCCCATCCAAACACCAGGTTTCTTCCTTTCTTCCCTGGTATCTCTCTGCAGTATTATGACTTGAGTTTTCCTCTACATGAGCTGCAAATTGTAGCAAGTAATTTGTTCCTAATCCAATATTCTTCAGGCCTTTTGGACTACTGCACTTGACCTGGGAACTTTAATATTTAACATGCCTAGAAGGAGTGTAAATAGTGCTGAATTCTTTTGTGCCTTTTAAATCATCTTATTGGACTCATTTAAATTTATTTATGGACTCAAGCTTTTTTATTTAAAAAATCCAATTAACTGGTATTTTTTTTCTTCTTGGTGCACAAACCTGTCCTTATGTGGCTAGTGAGAATCTCTTTATATTGGTTACTTGACCCTGAGCTCTTGGTCTCAAACATCCTGACTCCACAGTAAGAAGAGAATATTATGCTGACCAAGGGCATAGTATGGATCCTCTCCTGGTTTCTTTCAGAAGAGGGTTTGTGAAGTACTAACTCTGAGTGCTTGAAGAAGAGACCGAGTTTTGGTGCCAATTTAAAATACAGCGGTTGGGCTGGAGAAATGGTTCAGTGAATAGAGGGCCTGCCATGCAAGTGTGAGGACTTGAGTTTGAAGCCTCAGCACCCATGTATGACCAGACAAGGTGGCACATACCTACAGTCCCAATCCTGTGAGATGGGAGGTGGAGACAGGAGAATGTCTGGAAGCTCATAGGCTAGAAGCCTAGCAAATGCAGAGGCAAACTATGAGACCCTATCTCAATAAGGTGAAAGGCATGGACCCATAGCTGAGGTTGGTCTCTGATCTCCACAGGAAACCAAGACACAAGTGTCTACATCTACACAACATAAGTGTGCATGCATGTGTGCATGTACTCACACACACACACACACACAACAAAAAGAAAATCCAACTGCTATGGTTGGGTACATCAGATGAAAAGATAGGATAGATGATTCCTTTAAGGCCCCCATGGGCCATACTTTAAATTAGATCACCATTGCAAGTTCTCCTACATTCTACTCTTCTGAGACCCACTGGCACTTGGAGGCATTCATAGCCACACTCACTACTCTTCTCTTTCATTATATGGATGCTTCATACCAACTAGAGTTTATTGAGCACATCAGTCAGAAGACCTCTAGACCCTTGCTCTATGAATACTATACAGTTCATACCTCTTCATATACGTCATCTGTTCTGGGCCCAACATATTGTTTTGTTATTTATTCCCTTATTTTGATGCAGCACACTGTCAAACTTACTTTCTAAGAAAGATTATAGTTATTCTGGTTTCTTAAACATCTGAAAATTGATTATCCTTCCCTGTTACTGAGTCTGGCAGGGTCTAAAAAAGGTTACATGTGACTTTACATCCATAACTTTCAGTTATGGTACTGCTTCCCGGCTACCAGTTTTGCTGTTTGAA